CTGAATGGATTTAATTTATTTTTTTACCGTTGTCTTATTGCACTTCTGTGATACCGAAATCTATCATTCAGTCTAGTGTTCCGAATGGATTTATTTTATTTTTTTTTACCTTTGTCTTATTGCACTTCTATGATACGAAACCTATCATTCAGTCTAGTGTTCCGAATGGTTTTAACAATGTTTTTACCACTATCTTATTGCACAGTCTAGTGTTCCGAATGGTGGAGGCAGAAGAAGATTATCTGGAACAGTTACAGATGTTGGTATCCTACTTTTTGCGGCCTTTCAAGATGGCGGCCAGCTCTCAGAAACCGCCATGTTCTCACGATGAGGTCAACTCAATCTTCCTTAACAGGTAATCTTAAAAGCACCAGACATTAGGTGGTTGTTGAGTACATCATGTCGTTATCATGCTGAAAATAGTAAATACGTCTTTTAACACTATATGATTATTCACTTAACTTGTAAATTGTTTAAATTAAAACTTCTTATTTTAAACAGTGAAACAGTGATGTTCCTGCATCAAATTTTCCTGAAAGGTCTCACATCTCGAATGGAAAGTTGGCCGACTTTAGTTTTAGGTAAGAGTATCTTTATATCTAAATAATGTTCATTTTTCTATGCTATTCTTCATTACTACATTAACAAAGTTTCGTGTTCAGGGTTTTCAATACGACTATCTATAGAGGTAAGAGGGACCATTCTTTTCTAAAAGAAGTAAAAGGGAGTAATATACTATTCTATATTACTACATTAACAAAGTTTCGTGTTCAGGGTTTTCAATATGACTATCTATAGAGGTAAGAGGGACCATTCTTTTCTAAAAGAAGTAAAAGGGAGTAATATACTATTCTATATTACTACATTAACAAAGTTTCGTGTTCAGGGTTTTCAATACGACTATCTATAGAGGTAAGAGGGACCATTATTTTCTAAAAGAAGTAAAAGGGAGTAATATACTATTCTATATTACTACATTAACAAAGTTTCGTGTTCAGGGTTTTCAATACGACTATCTATAGAGGTAAGAGGGAGTAATGAATGAATAATTCAGTCAAGAAAGCATTAATTTTTACTCGTATTTTTAATCTCTTAAAGTGTGTAGCTTTTGTTTACGAAGATGGTCGACTCAATATCCTGCATTCTTCGGACAGAGAGGAGACCATTGGTCATATTGAAACTCATAGTTTCTACTTAATACTATTGTTCGAACCTTTCTTAGGAAAGACAAAGGAGTCTTATTGTATATATTACTAGTTCTAGGATACCAAACAGATTTAATACTACTGGGTTTAGTTTCTAATTAACACTATAAGATTATTTGGATTAACAAAACCTTGGTCAACTAGTAGCACGACTGAAAAACACATTTTTAGCAAACGTACGATATAGGGCTTCCACATTATCCTGTATGTGTTTTAATAATAAAATAAACCACATTATCCTGTATGTGTTTTTATAATGAAGTAAACCATATTATCCTGTATGTGTTTTAATAATAAAATAAACCAAATTATCCTGTATGTGTTTTTATAATAAAGTAATCAACATTATCCTGTATGTGTTTGAATAATAAAGTAAACCACATTATCCTGTATGTATTTGAATAATAAAGTAAATCACATTATCCTGTATGTGTTTTAATAATAAAGTAAACCATATTATCCTGTATGTGTTTGGATAATGAGGTAAACCACATTATATTATATGTGTTTTAATAATGAAGTAAACCACATTATCCTGTATGTGTTTTAATAATAAAATAAACCACATTATCCTGAATGGGTTTGAATAATAAAATAAACCACATTATCCTGTATGTGTTTTAATAATAAATTAAACCACATTATCCCGTATGTGTTTCAATAACAAAATAAACCACATTATCTTGTATGTGTTTGGACAATGAAGTAAACCACATTATCCTGTATGTATTTTAATAATGAGGTAAACCACATTATCCTGTATGTGTTTGGATAATGGGGTAAACCACATTATCCTGTATGTGTTTGGATAATGGGGTAAACCCCATTATCCTGTATGTGTTTTAATAATAAAGTAAACCACATTATCCTGTATGTGTTTTAATAATGAGGTAAACCACATTATCCTGTATGTGTTTGGATAATGAGGTAAACCACATTATCCTGTATGTGTTTGAACGATGAGATAAATTAATTTTGATGTCAGTTTACAGAACTCAGAGAAAAATGTTTCAAAATAATAAATAAAAGTTAATTTAATAATTGACGAATAAAATAACTGGAACTTTGTTTTGGTTCAACTGCATGACCAGTTCGCCATCTGTGGAAGAACAGACAGTACTAGGTAGGGTTAAGGATAATAGACAGTACTAGGTACGGGTTAAGGATAACAGACAGTACTAGGTAAGGGTTAAGGATAATCAAACAGTGACTTTATTTACATGTTGTTGTTTTTTCCCAGAGTCAAACTTTAAACATTAAATGTCCTGTAATTAACCCGATAGTACAATGACATTAAAGATATAATTACCGTATATACATTAATATTTCGCTGTTAAACAACCAAACGTCGTAGGTTACTAACGTCATGCACATGAATGTACTATGCACTGTTGACGAGAGTAGCTCGTCTCACCTGTGAGGGTTTTTTTTTTTTTAGAACATTTAGGATAAAACTAAAATTGTTTACTACTCAGTTAAAAAATTGATTTTGCGCACTTGGTTATAATTGAAGTGGCGCTGCAGTTTAAATTCCGACGTAGTGTATTTCACGAGTGTCTATTCTACTCCTGTAGGTGACCTGTTTGATATGTTGTTACCGATGTTGACAATTTACCAAGAGTACGTTCGAAATCATCACTATAGTCTTCAAGTCCTCGCGGAATGCAAGCAGAGGGAAAAGTTCAATGCGATTCTCCATCGTCTTGAAGAAAAATCTACTTTACAGGGGCGAACTCTCGAAACCTTTCTCACTTATCCCATGCATCAGGTAAAGTTACAGTTACAGTGGCAAGAATTATACAAAACAATTAATCATAATTCGCAATATTACAGCTAGGATAAGGTTAAAAAAACTTTAAAAAGTAACATCAGTCAAGTGCAAGTCAGAAAAATGTTGACCAGTCATGTGACCTGGACTGTAATTGATTGGTCATTAAACTTACGCTCGTAAATGGACGTTTGGCACATGTTTTGTATTTACAGTTTTATACGGAATGTGGTCACCACGAACAGCAGGGACTTCCTAGCACTGAAGTTGCATGCTTAAATCAGAGTGTTGACATCTTCTTGAGTTAGTCAGTCACCAAAGTTACCCTAAAAATAGCACTTGCTGGGGAGTGTTTGAATCTGGCTCAAGAGCTTGTCAACATTCTTAAGAGTGGTTGAAACTAACTCAGGAGCTTGTCAACATTCTGAAGAGTGGCCGAGACTAACTCAAGAGCTTGTCAACATTCTGAAGAGTGGCCGAGACTAACTCAAGAGCTTGTCAACATTCTGAAGAGTGGCCGAGACTAACTCAATAGCTTGTCAACATTCTGAAGAGTGGCCGAGACTAACTCAAGAGCTTGTCAACATTCTGAAGAGTGGCCGAGACTAACTCAAGAGCTTGTCAACATTCTGAAGAGTGGTGGATTTTTTGTGTTGTAAAGCCATATTTTGGTGGTGTAAAGTTATATTTTTGTGTTGTAAAGTCATATCTTTGTGTTGTAAAGTTATATCTTTGTGTTGTAAAGTTATATTTTTGTGTTATAAAGTTATATTTTTGTGTTAAAAAGTTATATTTTTGTGTTATAAAGTTATATTTTTGTGTTGTAAAGTTATATTTTTGTGTTGTACAGTTATATTTTGGTGTTGTAAAGTTATATCTTTGTAACAAGTTCCGGTTTGAGCCATTCAGATGAAGAATATGGTGGAAACGAATCGTTCTTCATTTGAGGCAATTTTAGTTATTGTTCTTATGCAGCTTTTCACTTTTAATTTATAAAATCCAATACAGATTGGACATACAACAATAAATCTGTGTTCTCTTTTGTTGGACTGAATTATTGTGTTGTTTTTAAAGTGAACTCTGTGACGAGCATTTAAACGTCAGACTCGGGTTCCACAAGCTGTATTATTTTTAACACGGATTTATTTACAGTGTATTGCTTAAGGAAAAAGCTATTGGCCAAATGGAATAACCAACACGTTCACTGGACTTCAGTCCTTTTAAGAATGTGCATGAGATGGAAGAAATGCCATTTTCCATCAAGTGACTTATAACTTTACAACACAAAGATATGACTTTACAACACAAAAATATAACTTTACAACACAAAGATATGACTTTACAACACAAAAATATAACTTTACAACACAAAGATATGACTTTACAACACAAAAATATAACTTTACAACACAAAGATATGACTTTACAACACAAAAATATAACTTTACAACATAAAACTATAACTTTACAACAAAAAATGTAACTGAAAGGGCGAGCATATTCAGAGGAGAACGTAACATGCACATTTGGTTGAATCACAATGTGTAGGGAATCTGGTGTGAAAATATAGAATAAAGCGCGAAACATTGAATAAAATGTGAAATTACAGAATGACGTTTGAAGGCAGAGAATAAGGTGTGAAAATCCAGAATTAGGCGTGAAAATGTAGAATAAGGCCTGAAAACATTGAATGAGATGTGAAAGTTTAAAGTAATGTGTGAAAATATAAAAAGATATAGAAAGAGACAAACGTATAACAAAGCTTTAAATAACGCTTGTAAGAATCTTGTATGTTTAAAAACACGTTTTGTGATAAATAGTGAAGGAGATATAACATTTCACAAATATCTGAATCATTCATGTAAAATAATCCTATTTGTAACGTAGAAATAATTGTTGAATTCTTCAGTAAAGCATTGGCCCACGTGCTGATTTTTAAACATGGAATGTTTACGACAAAACGTGTATGTATTTTTCAATAATATATTTATTGTTATGCTAGTGAGACCTATACATTATTAGGCCTAACAAAAGCTGTCCTTTATGTTCTATGTAGATTCCTCGCTATATTATTACCCTGCACGAGCTTCTAGCTCACACCCCGCACAATCACGTGGAGAGGAAGAGTTTGGAAACTGCTCGTACCAAACTAGAAGAACTGTCTAGGGTAACATTCAATAAAACCTATTCATTCACATTTTCAAAACAAAAGAGAAACCATAATTTTTTTTTTCTGTGTTATAACATCAAAGAATTTTAAGTGTGCTTATCATTACGTTAGATTACCTACGTTTTCTGTTTCTGTTTTCAACCAGAAGGTTGTAAACCAGTATTGATGTTCTTTTAATATATTGTTTTAGACAAGTAATAATGGTGGCTAATATTTAAGGCCAAAGCATGCAACAGAAAGTTTTTACATGAAATAAATAGACGGTCTTATTTAGAAAAAATTCACGTAAGAATAAGGCAACTGGTGACTGTATTTTACAGCAAATGCACGATGAAGTAAGTGAAACGGAAAACATTCGGAAGAATCTGGCGATTGAGAGAATGATAACTGGAGGTTGTGACATTTTGCTAGATGTCAACCAGGTATTTATTAGACAAGGTGAGAATGTCAATAAACACGTGGTGTAAATTGTTACCTATGTAGTTGTTAGACAAGGTGGGGTATTACTAAACACGTGGTGTAAATTGTTACCTATGTAGTTGTTAGACAAGGTGGGGTATTACTAAACACGTGGTGTAAATTGTTACCTGGGTATTTATTAGACAAGGTGAGAATGTCAATAAGCACGTGGTGTAAATTGTTACCTGGGTATTTGTTAGACAAGGCGGGGTATTACTAAACACGTGGTGTAAATTGTTACCTAGGTATTTGTTAGACAAAGTGAGGGTATTATTAAACACGTGGTGTAAATTGTTACCTAGGTATTTGTTAGACAAAGTGAGGGTATTATTAAACACGTGGTGTAAATTGTTACCTAGGTATTTGTTAGACAAAGTGAGGGTATTATTAAACACGTGGTGTAAATTGTTACCTAGGTATTTGTTACACAAGATGAGAGTGTTACTAAACACTTGGTGTAAAATGGATATTTGGTAGATTAGTTAAGTGCGGCTAAGTAACAAATCTTGTTGGATGTTATTAACATCATGTTAACCAGATAATTGTGATAAAAGCTCAGAACGGTAAGTTATTGTTGGTTGTATTTAGAAGGTTTGTCATGAATATTGTTTTCTTGGCGGAGGTTTCGTTGTTTGGGTCGTATATAAATATTTACAAGTAATTAGAAATGACAAAAAAGATTTGATTAAAATTATTAAATAATTTATATCTTGGTGATTCATTGAAAATACTGAAAATAAATTATTTCAAAAGTAAAGTTTCAACCGAAACTGGTGTTAACTTAGGTTTTCATTTTTGATATAGTTTTCAAACCATCATCTTTTGCAGGAAGTGTTATTCGCAATCTTGGGACTGACAAATCCCGACTGCAGCGCCCTCGAGTTAGAGAATGCGTTCAGCAGTGTTATCTCTTCACCAATCACATTTTGTTGTGTACCAGAACATCAGCCGGAAAATTACACTTGGTAGAGGTAGCATGGTTTAGTTTATATGTGCTTATGTCAGATTTTAGTTTAGCTTTGACATTCTAAAATACTACTAGATTTTGTGTTTGATGTCAAAGTTTGCATGCAAGCTTGGTGTTATAAATAACAGAGATAATTTGCTTTGCTCGTCTATTTAGCTCTCCGTTTGTTTTTAGACCTGTATATCAGCAACTTTATTTATCTAATGGCGTGTTTGCTTCTGTTACACAAGGATTCTAAATATGTATGAACTCTAGCTTTTGGAATCATGAATGTAGTCCTACACACTGGATTTTTTTTAGTTATGACACATATATACTGATTTTTTTTTCATTCTTTTTCAGTGTGGTTGGCATGAGAATTTATTGTTTTTTTTTCTTCTTTTATTACGAGTAGTTTTGG